ACATGATGTACCTTGTGTGTGTGAAGTTTGAACTTGATCAATCCAGATATGTCTCGGATACGGATCCAGAACTGAATTCCGGAATGGTGAAAATGTGCCATTTTGATGCATTTTCGGCCTTAAAATGGCCGCTATTCGGCTATCGTAATCGGATCATGAAAAAAATGCATGTACATATGTCCCATATAATGTGTGATGTATGAGTGAAGTTTGAACATAATCGGTCCATGCATGTTCGAGATACAGGTGATCATGTACGCACGGACGGACGGACGGACGCACACAGGGCAAAACATAAGTCCCCGTTTTCGGACTCCGTTCGAACGGGGACTAACAAAGAAAGTTTAAAAAGAACTCCCCTGAGAGTATTGGAGATAAAATTAATTAGTTATTAATTAATTAGTTATCCAAATAAGTCGCTTGGCAACTAATATTTGTCTGCTGTTGAGATGAACAACTTGAAAACATTGTGATCCACGTTATTAAAAGTTTATAATACATTTGATTTTACATCTTTGGTTTTCAGTCTAATTTATTCCAGAGCACTTCTACCACAAGTTCAATTTAAATCTGATTTTTTGAGGTACACAAAATTGACTAATATTAATTAGATAATTAATATTCATGTTTTATTATTAAACTAATCATGTCTGGGGACTATCTATGAAACAAATTTCAATGGAATGTTGGAATGTGATGGTTATGCACATTGTACAAATTAGGCAATTAGTATGCTCAAATTTCAATCCAAAACTAATGCATTGTTCCCAGGCACTTATATACCAAGTCTTAATGAAATGCAATAATTGGTTTTTGAAAAATGGGTAATTATTATGCAAAATAAGCAATTATTATGCATAGATTTCAACCCCAAACTATTTAGATCTGTGTATTGTTCCAGGGCATATATTATGTACCAATACCAAGTTTAATTTTAATGTGATGATTAATTCTGAAAGAATCAATGTAAAGCCGAAAAGTAAATTATTATGCAAATTAGGTAATTATTATGGATGTATGTAAACCCAAACTAATTAGTTAGATTGTACCAAGACTCATTGAAAAAAGATAAGCTGAAAACTGACTATTATGCAAATCACATAATTAATATGTACAGATTTTAATGTAAAACTAATGTACCAAGTTCCCTTGAAATGTGATTTGAACTTGAAATATAAATGAAAAAATTATAAAACATAATACAAATTAGGTTATTAATATGCATGTATATTAACTTATCAGGTCTATGCATTGTCCTAGAATATCTATGTACCAAGTTTCAATGTAATTTGATGATTAGTACTTGAGATAGCAGTGGAAAAGCCACAAATGTACTAATGATTATGCAAATTAGGTGATTAATTACATGTTTTAAATTACAAATTTACTTGAGCAAAATACTACAATACCAACAAAACATGATGAAAACAGTTACTAAAGCCAAAAAAGAATTAACACAAGTATGAATTAGGACATTGTCATTCCTAAGTAGGTGCTGACTGAAGTTATACAACTACTTATGCTTAAAATAAGAATTAAAATATTTCTGTTCATACTATTAGCACTGCTAGCCTGTTAAAGATTAAAGATCAATATTATTATAAGCCACTTGCACTATATTTACAATTTGTGCATGATAGTCACACCAAACAACAGATACTGTATAAATAAGATCTAAATAATATACACTTAACATAATCTGAACTTCTAGTAAATTTTCATAAAAATACTGTTTGCCCCAGCATAAATAAACTGTAACTGTTACTTTATGTCAGCTTTATCATTGCCATTTGATGACATCATGTAACTCTGGTACTTTTTCACTGGAACAAAAACATTACAATAATCATACAGATGCCTGTGTACAAAGAATGTAGTAAAACTCAAGGCGAGTAAAACACATAGTAGTTGATCAGCAAATATACATTCCGACCACAGTCTTTTCCAATATATTTTTCTTTTTCCAATATATTAACAGGTACAGATTTCATTACAAAGGATAACCATATCTTTATGGTATTTCATGTCATTCATAGAATATATCACCTGATTCTTGTTTTGACATTCTGTTACAGACTGAAGTACTAGTAGAGATTTATAGTGCTCTTATATACATCAGAGGTTTGGGGTTTAACAACAAGAGCCAAGACATGAGATAAGTCAGCAACAGAGAAATTTTTCTTGAAATTTTGTCGTCATACCCTTAACAATAAAACTATAAGTAATTGGTTGTAGACTTGAAACTGGTACACTACCAATAATTGCAAAACATCAATACTAGGCAATAAAATGTTACCATCAGATACAAAACAACAGATCAACTAGTTTTACTTACCCTGCTATAAAAAATATGTGGAACAACATTGCTATAAAAATGACGATAACAGAAAGATTCTAAACTGAGAACATACATTCTTGTAATAATGACATCAGTGATTCATCTTTAATAATTACTTTTACTTGATGAAATCATATTAAGATTAGATATCAATAAATATGATTATTATATCAATTTCACGAGACATCAATTGAACACAACAATTTCCACAGAATTGTATTTAAAATGATAAAAATCAACGGTCATATATGACGGGAGCTTTAAAAGATGAGCGTGAAACGAAAAAAACAGAAAACAAAAACTGAAAATTCTCTCTGCTTCTTGTTCAGGGTTTACCTAAGTAAAACGTAAATACTCCCATGCAATGTGTGCACGCAGCTTTCAGTGGAAAAGGGATAGCATGACGTCACACAAACGAGTTAAAATGGCAACCCAAACGGCCGATTTGTAAATAATCCAAAAAGCAAGGGATTTAGAAAACCTGGACTAGGTGCTACACACTTACTTTTGAACCAGAGATACTAGTGCACGTGGCCGCAATTCAATAAAATGACTAGAGAAAACTGCAAATAAAAGTAGACAACAGGCACAATACATGAGAATTAGATGTAAATGTCTTTTCGTCTGTGCACCTGCCATCTTGCAGACCACATTCGCAGAGGAGCAAACAAACGATTAACAAACGTACATTAGTTTGGAACACAAAACAGGTATATAGGAAAACAATCCAAACAAATCAGCACTGGAGGGACATGGATAGTATTAGAGTTATGAGTGAGGGGGTCTAAGGAACTCTTACCAGAAAAAGTCAGCTGGCGTGAAGATCTCGGCAACATGGCTTCAGGTATTTTAAATGTCAACGTGTCTTGTTGAACGGAAAGTAGGGAGACTGCCCTATGTTCCGACATCTTCATGTTCCGACACCCCTATTTTGTTCCGACACACAGTATTACTCCAACTGAAGTAACCGGAGTTTGGCCATCACGTTCGAATATCCATGAAAGCGGGATCTTGCATATTTTTATCGGATAATGTTGCTCATTGTATCAGTCTAATACTTCGACAATCATTTAACAATATTCGTGTGTTTTGTCAATGTTTTAAACCTTAAATCATCCCATAGCCTAACTATCGAAGTTTTAGATCGATATTAGATCTGTAATTATCGGAGAATTATTTTATCCTTTTTATACTATTATCCTGTTCCCGAATTGGACAATTCCAATTCTATGCCAGGTCCTTAGTAATTAATGATTCCACGTATTTATTTGGCCGTTTTTTGACAGACGTAAAATGCCATAATGTTAATTCACGGAAATTTAAACACACTAATACTGAATTTACTGATAATGAATTAAACGTTTGCCATAAAATACTAAATTTGCTATCCCATGGAAATATTTGAAATCAAAATATTTGGCAATATATTAAGTTCCGCGTCGCATGCACACGATTGAAATATATAAAATGGACCTAATATACTAATGTTGTATTTATTCAATTGTGAGAAGGAGTTTAGAGGGGGGGGGGGGAAGGGTTATTTTCGTTCAGCGTAATTGCAATATTTTTTTGTTCGTACAACGTAAATAGAAAAAATAAATTCCGTAATTCTGTAACTCACAGGTTGGACGTACAACGTAATCAATCAAATATTTTTTTCGTACACTGTAAAAATGTGTCATTTTTCTCGTACGTACAAAAATTCACATCCAAATAAAAAAATCGTAAAGAATAATCCAGGGAAATTACATTTTAGAAACTGTAAAACGACTAGATGACACAATTCACTACAAATTGAATGTCAGACGTAAAAGGCCCTCTAACCGAATGAGGAGCATTACGAGGGT